TCGTGTTATATATTCTTACAGTTAATGCCTTTATATTCAATTAATTTTAATTGTATCTTCGTCCACTTAGTTATTACGCCAACTTTAGAGCGTGTTTGATGTATTGCCGAAGGACGTAGGTTCGGTTCCCATTAGAGATAAAATCGAAAGGTAGTTGCTTCGTTTTGATGATTCCTGATCTTGATCCAGTGGTTTTATGTACATTTCAGTTATATCTAGTGTTTGTTTAAATATATTTTACTGTTAAATTAATAATTACTATAACCAGTAAACTCATTAGAGTGTAGATCAATAGTATTTCTCTATATATACAATAGTATGACACACACAACTTGTCGTAACTGAAAATGTCGTAAAGAAAACCATAACTTTTCGATTAAGAATCTAACTAAAGCTATCTTGAATTGTCTTGATTTAAGACAACCCACTCCATACATTAATATAACAATGCTTATTTACGACATTTTCTATTACTAAAGTTTTGTGAATATCGATTATTTTCGTATCGTAACTTACGACAAAAGTTTGTCGTAAGTTGCGATATACGAAATTTTTAAATTAAAATATGATGCATGCCGGCATTAATAATTAATATATTTTTTAATAATTTATTTTACACGTTTCGGTAAATAATTTAAATGAAATAAATCCGAAATAATCAGTTTTTAAATACAATTAATATCCGTATAAAGGAGAATTTACATAGCACGCATCTTAATCAATAACAATAGGATGTTCATAATTATCATACTATTCCTGTTTGCCGCAAATCTTGAAAATGTTATTCTCGTCTATTCAATAGCCTAAGAGGATTCTATAATTTCTATTATAAAATTTAATATTAGAATTTAGTGATCCGTTGACGACTGCATTCCCAATATCCGTCAGCATTGTTACATTTCCGTTCGAATAAAACAACCGTAATTATATTTTTCCTATTTTTAATACAAAATGATTTCGGTAAAGAGGAAATGATAAAAATCAAATATCATGCAACGTTAATTCTTATTTTTTCTCCTTAAAAAGAAAAGTATATAAAAGAATTATTTATTCTCTTAATAAGGCAAGAAAACAACGATATCAGTCGAGGTTAGATTTCGTCTTATTGTGGCCCTAATTTGTATAACAGACCCTTTCCTCCTGCAAAAAATTCGAGGCCCAAGTTATACACTCATAAAGCCAGGCTCTAAGCTTCAGCTTGTTCGGCTTATATGCAAATTTTCTAGAAAATGGCGTCTGGCTCAAAAATCAGTTAACCGTTGAAAAGATTACTTAAATGGCTTTTTCAATAGCTGCCATCTTGAAAAAGCATGTTTTGAATCCATCCGAAACAGGAATAAAATACAGTTAACTGACTTTTGAGCCGCTCTGTATATGTTTACAGTATCATTTAAATTAGATAATTAAAGACTTAATTGGAATTATTTTAATAATTTAATTTTTAATAAGAATAAATAATAATACGTCCTTGGCCTCAATTTTTCAAGGATATTTCTTTTGATATAAACGAGTAATCGAATATCTTTTTTTATTTGTTTATTTTTTCTGGTTTAAAATTACAGATTTAAAATGAATTATTTTTATTCTAGTTTACTATCTTTTATTATTATTATTATTATCTTTAAAAAAAATTGTAATTATAAATTAAATCAAATTAAAGGAAATTGTATTTGTTTTAACATTATCTAAGTTAAATATTTATTTCACTGTAATTGTTTGAGTAAAGGATACTGAGCTTTAATTTATATTTAGTTTGAAGAAATGACTATATAATAATGCTGTTATCGTAGCAATTACTGTATAATCTGTTTAAATTTTAGAGTAATAAATTTTTAATAATTCAAGCACAGATATAATTACGTTAAATCGCGAATTTCTTCATTGAATATGCGATGTTTCGATCGATTTATTGCACTTAATACGTTATTTTTATAAAGTTTCTTCTCTCAATACGTTATATCGAGGTTCTTTTTTAAAGTTAAATGTAGTATATTACGTGATTATTTCGTTTATTACGCTATATTGCAGATTTTATACAATGGATATTCTTATTATAAACACAATTGAGGCTGAAGTGTCCTTTTGATTTACGTCATATAGCAGTCGTGTATACTTTAAGAAATTGTCGAAAGTAAATAAAGTTTTAATAATATAAAACATAAAAATGTTATTTAATATTTATTAAGCTGCGCAAATACTTAATAGAATTTTATATATGACGTGTACAAATTTATGACCACTTATCAAAGGCAAAACCTCTTTATAAAAAGTCGCTACTGACTAAGCACAGGGATACTGTCGATGATAAATCACGATACAGTAATCCCTCGATTTAACGGATTTCGGATTTAACAAGTAAAAAAGTTGTCCTAAAAGAAATTTAGAACCTTTTACCTTTTTTTTTTTTATTTATTCGCCAATAGATTACGCTAGAAGAATGTACAGTACATTATAACAGCGAAGTTGCGGCCGAAGTTTTTATCTTTAAAACGTGAACGTCGAACGTCGAGCGCCGCTTACAAAGCGGCGTTCGACGTTCGACGTTCACGTTTTAAAGATGAAAACTTCGGCTGCAACCTCGCTAAATAATCTATTTGTAATTGTACATTATAACGGAATATTAATACATCCTAGGCATTGTAAGTTCGTTTATCTATTATACACATTAACACAGTAAAACCTGTTTAGAACGGACCCTCTACAAAACGGAAACTGCTAAAATGTAAAATATTATTATAATTTGGAAACTTGTCGCGAAAACGGAAGGATTGATGTATAAAAACCTGGATTAAACGGAATTTTTTAGTGTAACAATAAGCTAAATTCTAAATCGTAATTAAAATATTCGAATTTTAAACAGATTTTTTAAAATCTTTTATGCAATATGTTTATGAAATAAAAGACTTTTATTGCATGAGAAACAGTTCTGAATACAGTACGAGTAATAATATTTTCTCAGCTTTCTTATACAATAAAACCTGTGTAAACCGGACTAGCAATATACCGAAGATTTCTTCCCGTTTAAGCAAGTTTCCGTTTTATTAGTGTTCCGTTTTGAACAAGTTTTATTATGTATATTAATAATAAAAAATAAAAACATAAACCTGTGTAAAACGGAAACCTGTCAAAACGGACGAATTTGTAAATTTTTGACATAAAAATATGAAAAAAATAAATATATAAAATTATTTATTTTGAAATTTTATTTCATTATTTTAAAGGATTTTAATTATAAAAAATAATAATAATAAATAAATAAATCGAAAGGTGTTTCCTCTNTATACACACATGTATTTTCCAAAAAATAATTCTATCAAAACAGAAAAAAAAATATTCTAAAATTTCAATTCCAATTCTTCCAACTGTCAATAAATCCGTGTAAATATCAAAACGGTTTGCAAATATGGTCTTTAATAATTTCTCATGACTAAGTTTTCTTAGATAAATACACGGAAAAATATATAACTGGAAGAAGAAAATTTAAGGAAGTGGCATTTCCCATAGGAGAAGCTTTGTAGTACTAAAGCTTAAAGCTAACGAAAAGCATGCAATGATAACAAAGACTAAGAAACAAGTCCGGATGGGAAAAGTAACCATGGTGACATTAAAACCAGAATCAATCCGATTCGGATGGGTGCATTAAGGTAATTTCTATGTAATCCTATGTTCAAGATAAAAACAAAATAAAAGAAAAATCTGGGATGCTTTAGAAATACTTACGTTTCCCTAAAAAGTACTTGAAATACCATCTTGTCTGATATTCTGGGTTCTCTAAGACAGGAGTACTGGGAGAACCATAGACCTAATTTTTTTTTTTTAAATTAAATTCAATTAAATTTCGGTAATTATAAATTGTCTAAATATTAATTTACATAATTATATATTAATTAATAGTAGAAAAAAATGAGTTTAATTGCATTATATACATATAGAGAATATCAATAACTATACACGCAATATTCTTAATTTAATAATTTTATAATTTAGAGTAAAATCCTAATTAAAAACTTCAGGGAAATAAATGTCAGGAAGATCTAAAATAATTTAAGATAATGTAAGAACCAGAAAAATAATATTGAAGAGAATGCAAAGGGCTTATTATATACATAGTAATTATAATTAAAGTTCCACTTTGAAATGGCCATAAAATTAAAACTACTGGACAGAATGTTATCAAATTTGGTAATAGTGTACAGGACGTCGTGGGATTTTATTTCCCCGCGAAAAGAAAAATAGTTCAAAAACTCACCACCAACGGAAAAATGGCGCTGTCTACAATATTGTTAAACGAAATAAGACACGAAGAAGACATCATTGAAAATGTTTTTAATCGGTTTTAAAACGCGTTACAGAACATGTTCAATGTGGTGTCGACCATTTTTTGATAAGTAAGTTACATCGCATTACTGTGTTCTCAACAGTAGCTCTTAGCATGTCAGGAGTAACCCCACAAACAGTTTTGTTTTAAAACCGATTAAAAACATTTTCAATGATGTCTTCTTCGTGTCTTATTTCGTTTAACAATATTGTAGACAGCGCCATTTTTCCGTTGGTGGTAAGTTTTTGAACTATTTTTTTTTGCGGGGAAATAAAATCCCACGACGTCCTGTACACTATTACCAAATTTGATAACATTCTGTCCAGTAGTTTTAATTTTATGGCCATTTCAAAGTGGAACTTTAATTATAATTACTATGTATATAATAAGCCCTTTGCATTCTCTTCAATATTATTTTTCTGGTTCTTACATTATCTTAAATTATTTTAGATCTTCCTGACATTTATTTCCCTGAAGTTTTTAATTAGGATTTTACTCTAAATTATAAAATTATTAAATTAAGAATATTGCGTGTATAGTTATTGATATTCTCTATATGTATATAATGCAATTAAACTCATTTTTTTCTACTATTAATTAATATATAATTATGTAAATTAATATTTAGACAATTTATAATTACCGAAATTTAATTGAATTTAATTTAAAAAAAAAAAATTAGGTCTATGGTTCTCCCAGTACTCCTGTCTTAGAGAACCCAGAATATCAGACAAGATGGTATTTCAAGTACTTTTTAGGGAAACGTAAGTATTTCTAAAGCATCCCAGATTTTTCTTTTATTTTGTTTTTATCTTGAACATAGGATTACATAGAAATTACCTTAATGCACCCATCCGAATCGGATTGATTCTGGTTTTAATGTCACCATGGTTACTTTTCCCATCCGGACTTGTTTCTTAGTCTTTGTTATCATTGCATGCTTTTCGTTAGCTTTAAGCTTTAGTACTACAAAGCTTCTCCTATGGGAAATGCCACTTCCTTAAATTTTCTTCTTCCAGTTATATATTTTTCCGTGTATTTATCTAAGAAAACTTAGTCATGAGAAATTATTAAAGACCATATTTGCAAACCGTTTTGATATTTACACGGATTTATTGACAGTTGGAAGAATTGGAATTGAAATTTTAGAATATTTTTTTTTCTGTTTTGATAGAATTATTTTTTGGAAAATACATGTGTGTATATATATATATA